ACAGGAGGAGGTGCTTTGCTCAGGCGACTGGGAGCGGCGGGAGGCGCCAAGGAGAGGGAAGGGGGAAGCAGAAGTGCCCCTCGAACTCATCTGTGCTGTCAATACTTTTGTGGCAATTGGTGCTGCCACTTCCCACCAGCGTGTCAGTGGCAGAGAGTCAGCGTCAATTACAATTGGAGGAAAGTAATACATTTATATATATATATATAAATATAAATATATTTATATTTATACTTGCGTGTGTACGTGCGTTTGCGGTATACACCTATACTTGCGTTTAGCTGCCAGGCAGAATAGGCGCGCAGCTGAGGTAGAGGCAGTCGGAAGAATAACATTCCCACCAGTTACTCTGTGGTTTGGTTGGCAAAAGGAGGAACGAGCCCCCACAGAAAAGAAAATCAGTGAAGGGAAAGGAACGAAAGAGAATATACAGAAGGACATCAAGAAGCAGAAGGTGGTTGGGGCTCTACCTCCTCTTCTCTGTCTTCGTGCTTCTGCTCGAGAGTTTCACTGTTTGTGTGTGTGTGTGTCTGTGGCGGCATTGTTGTGACGGGCTCGAAAGTAAATTAAAGGGGGGTGTCGGAGTTTCACCGATTGATTTATTGTGACGTTTTTTTTGTGAGTGGTTTTGCGTGAGCCACCACCCAATTAGCCACTTGCCCACAGCTGGCCCGTGGTGGAGGGGAAGCAGCAAAGGCTACGGAGTGGAGGGGAGGGGGAGAGGTGCAATCATGGCGTTTCTCAATGCTCTCAAAAAAGATACCCCACGGCTGCAGAAGGGTCAAACTGTGGCGTACGACTACCTTGTGGACGACGAGCACTGGCAGTGGACGCTGGGCACGGTGGTCGCGCTGAAGGAGTACAGCGCCGTTGTGCAGCAGTGGCGCATCAACCAAGGCGACGACGCGGCACTGCGGAATATCGTGTCGAACGAGGTTGAAAAGGAGATGAAACGAATGAGGGTGTTTCAGGAGCAACTTTCCACATCACGAGATAAACTGGCTGCGATTCGCAGTGAAAACGAGGATCGCGTCTCCGCCGCAAGGACGTTGTACGAGTTGGCGAAGGAGCAGGTGGAGGTGGTCGACGAGGTTCACATGCGTGAGGTGACGTCGCAGACCCGACCCTCACCGGTGGCTATGGAGGTGTTAAAGGCGGTGCTTGCAGTGGCCAAGAATGACCCCGCCGTCAAAGACTGCTCCTCCTGGTACGACATACAAATGGAGTACAGGAAGCCGGATGCTGTCATGAATCTCATTCACGTGGACATCCCTGGACGGTGCTATCCAAGCCCCGACGCCATTCTTTCCTCCTTGCGGGAGCCACGCTTTTCTTCCGCGGCCGCCGCGCGGGATTCTGATGCGATCAGGAGCCTGCATCAGTGGGTAATGAGTGCCCTGGCGTACCAAGAGGCACATAGCAGATTAACCTCCGACACGCGTATACAGGCGCAAAACAATGCTATCGGCGATGCCATTTCCGGGATGAAGGCGTGCCGCATGAAAGTCATGAAGCTGAAGGAGGAGTTGTCTCACGGAAATCCCTCAGCTGCCAGGGGTCAGGTGACGTCCTTTACAAAAACGTCTGTACAATCCACGATTCCTCTTTCGGCTGTTATTTCTGTCGTGCCAATTGATGCTTTGGTAACCGATTGCGCGTTAACAGATGATGAGGTTGACATTGTCTACGAAAATGCTACGTGGATGCGCTTTCAACTGAAGGATCAACTCTCGCGAACATTGAATGAATACATGGGAGCCATGGCGGAGCTCCACTGCCTTTCCATGTATGCCACTGAGCTCGAAGAAAAGCGCCTCTACTTGCGAGAACACTACACTCGCAACGCTCTGCGTAATCAGGATAGAGCAGTTCTAGAGATACAGAACAGTGAAACCTCCAAGAATCTGAAGCAACTGCAGGACACCATTGATGAATTGAAGAAGCATGATGAACGATGGACCTTCGAGGTTGGTCCGACGGTAACCACAAAACACACTAAGAAATACCCTGGAAAGGATTGGAATGCGCTACTTACAAATAAACCAGAGGAACTGCTGGCAGTGTTTAAGTCTGAGCAAGCGCTCGCTTGTCACGTGCCAAATGACTGTATTCGGGATGTTGAATTCCGTCTCGAGCCCGATGCGCTTCTCACTTCGTTCAAAGTCCAGCACCCTTCACGACGGACCACAGGAGAGGTTGATAAGCGCCTGGATGAATTTCCGCCGCGTGAGATGAACCGTCTCTACCAAGACCCCGACCGCCCGAAGTCGGCCCTTGACCGCGCAATCGTGGAGGTCTGCCGCGCACTTGACATGCCAGAGAGCAAGTTCAATGGGCTGTACTTTGACGAGTTTGTGGAGCATCTTGGAGGAGTGGGCCACCTTGTCGACAAGGACGCATACGAAAGCGAGATTGGTGATTTGCTTATGTTTCTGGACAAGATCCACAACGAAAACCGCTCGCTGCAGTACACGCTAGAAAAATCTGCCGAGGAGTTTCGTCGTCAGACGGCATCAACGTTGCGGGAGCAGGAGGCCTTACGGCAGCGTAACAATGAGCTCCACGCCGAAATTGGCCGTCTGCGCAACCTGGTCGAGAAGCTAAAGGACCTTGCTGACAAGCAGGCCAGCGAGCTGGAACTTTTCAAGTTGCAACAGAACCAGGCAAATCAGATGCGCACCCAACGCAATCTTTCAGCATTTAAGAGCGACAACACCGCCGAGCCCCTGTACTGCGTCACCCTGGATGAGCTGCACGAACAGAAGAAGCACTGCGAGGAGGCCGAGAAGGCGGCGGCAGAGCTGCATGCCCAGCTCGGGGAGCTCACTCAGACCCACGACAACCTCCTCGCCCAGCTAAATACGCTGACGCAGCAGAAAGAAAGTGTGGAGGCAGAGAACGGGCAGCTAAAAGAGGAACTCCAAACGGCAGGAAAGTCCGCGAATGACGCCGCACAGGAGCGTGCCGAGCTCCGACAAGAACTGGAACGAAAACGCGCAGAGTGCGAGGAATTAATGAACAACTTAAATCAGCTCAGTGAACTCTTAGAGTCTGTCAAGACCTCAGAGAAGGAAGCATTGGCAGGCATCGAAGCGCGCGACGAAGAAATCAGTGACCTTCAGCAGCAACTTGAGGATGCGCTACATAATCACAATATTACAGCCCGTGAGCTTGATGCGAAGGAACGACACAAGGAAGAACTAATGGCCCTAGCTGAAAGGCAGCAAAGAGAAATACATGCTCACCGACACAAACGCCGCGTGGCGCATGAAGCAAGATCACTGGAGCCAACACTACAGCCCCATGGCGTAGAAGGCACAGCCCTAGAGGATGAAGTGGAACCAGATGCCATCCTACAAGAACCCCTACTTTCCGTTACAATGGATGAATACACGAACCACCTCCAACGGAGCAATCAGCTTCAACAAGAAAACGACACACTTCGGCAGCATATCCAACAACTCAATGACGATAAGGAAACCCTGTACAGCCAGCTTCGGGAAGCCACGGCAGAAAATCAGAACCTCACCGAGCAGTATCGTAGCAAAAATGAGGAATGCACTAATGCCAACAACATAATAAAAGTCCTTTACGACAAAAACGATCAACAGGCGTCTGAACTTGAAAAAATGAACATGGAAAACCAAAAGCAGACTGAAGAGATTGAAAAACTCCACAATGACATCAACAAACTCAATACTACAACTGAAAAATTCTGCAATGAGAATGAAAAACTCACAAATGAGAATGAAAAACTAGCCGACGAACTAGAAAAGCTAGCAACAGAAAACGAGAGTCTCGCAGAGGAGCTGGAGCAGAAGGCGGCCGAGAATGAGAAGCTCGCAGAGGAGCTGGAGCAGAAGGCGGCCGAGAATGAGAGACTCGCAGAGGAGCTGGAGCAGAAGGCGGCCGAGAATGAGAAGCTCGCAGGAGGAGCTGGAGCAGAAGGCGG